CTGCTTATCACCTAGAAACCTACTGAATATTTCCAGTTGGATGTCACCTAGGCATCTTAAATCCAGCAAGTCCGAAACAAGACTCATTCTCTTTCCTTCAAAACCACTTCTCTTCCTCAGTTTTCTATTTCTGTCAAAGGCCCAGTCACTGAGGTCCCCCCTCCCCTCACTCATTGACTCTTTCCTCCTCCCATAACCAAGTCTCATATCTTGTCTCTACCGCTGCAGCACCTCTCACATCGATCCCCTTGTCTCCACTCACACAGTGACCACCATCTTTCACTCTTTCATTGCTTCTCCCCATTCTAACTGCTGCTCAGCTGCCAAACTGATATTCCTAAAGCACAAGTTTGAGACCATGTCACTTCCCAGCTCAAGAAGCTCCAATGACTCCCAGTTCCATCCAGGATAAAATATAAATGCCTTTTGTTTGGCTCTTAAAGCCCTTCACAGCCTGGCTCCAGCCTGCTTTTCCAGGCTTACTACACATCACCATCCTCCATGCTAATTCCAGCCAAATTCGCCTTTTGGCCATGTTCTTCATAACACACCATCTGCCACCATTCCTTTGCACAATCTGTCCCCCATACCTGGAATGTGCTCTTTCTCTCTCTCTCCCTCTCTCTCTCTCTCTCTCTCTCTCTCTCTCTCTCTCTCTCTCTCTCTCTCTCTTTGCTCTTTAGTGAAGTAGTCAGGGTTAAGTGACTTGCCCAGGGTCACACAGCTACTAAGTGTCAAGTGTCTGAGGTCAGATTTGAACTCGGGTCCTCCTGACTCCAAAGTTGGAGCTCTATCCACTGTGCCACCTTGCTGCCCCTGGAATGTACTCTCTCCTCACCTCTACCTCTTAGGATTCCTAGCTCTTTCAGCTGCAGTGCCATGTCTTGTATGACCCCCTCTGCCCAACTTTTAGTGGGTGTATATGATAGTCCAAAAGTATTCATGCAGTTGTTTTTGGAAGATCCTGCATTTTATATTAAATGTATATATATATATATATATATATATATTATATATATATATATATGTATATATATATATATATATATATATATGTGTGTGTGTGTGTGTCTACTTATATGTGGACATATCATTTTCCCTTTCCATCTCCCCTCCCCCATTAGAATACAAGCTGCATGAGGTCAGGGACAGTTTGGGTTTTGTTTGAGTATTCCCAGTGTTTAGCAGTGTCTAGTATATTCTAGGTGCTTAATAAAGGCTCTCTAGCTAACCATCCATCCATCCATATATCATCTATTCTTCCAACTATCTAGTTATCCATCTATCTATCATCTATTACTCCAACTATCTTTCTATCATCTGTGTATATAATATGTAATATGTATAGATAGAAAGCTATCTACCTAGATAAATATGGACATAGATATAGATATTGATGTATAGATATACGACTTCAGTCTCTCCTGAGCTTCCTTCCTACCTCGCTGCCCAGAGGCAGCATGGTACAGTGGAAAACGTACTGGATATGGAGTCCAAGTTCCTGGGTTCAAATCTTATGTTCTGATACTTACTGCCTGTGTGACCTTGGGCAAGTCATTTAACTTCCCTGGGCCTCTGTTTCCTCATCTGGAAAATGGGGGTAGGGGATTGACTTCATGACTTCTGACATCCCTTCCATCTCTAAAAATCTACGATCCTCTTAAAATGTCCTCCTGGCTCTCCTGTCATTGTCTTACACTCAATATATCCCAAACAAAACTCATTATCTTCCCACCACTGCCAAATCTCCCTTCATCTTCTATCAAGAGCACCACCATCCCTCTACTTGTTCAGATGAGTGACCTCAGAATCATGCTTGATTCCTTGATATTCTCTTATCCATCCTATCCAATTGGTCACCAAGCCTTGTCTCTCCCACCTTTGCAACCTCTCTTTTATCGCTCTCCTGTCACCACCCTAGTTCAAGCCCTCATCACCTCTCACTTGGACAGTAAGAGCCTCTTACATGGTCTCCCAGGCTCCATTCTCTCCCTGACTCCCATCCATCTTCCATACAGCTGCCAAAGCCATATTCTAAAGCGGGGGTGTGACCATGGCAGTTCCCTCTTTCAGAAGCTCCAGCGACCCACCGTTCCATCTGGGATAAAATACAAACTTCTCTATTTGGCATATATAAAAAACCCTTCCCAGCATGCCTCCAGCCACCAGGCTTACCGTTCTCCTTCCCACACTCAGTGCTGTGGACATTCCCTCCTGGCCTCCAGCTCTCAGGGACAACCTCTTCCACTGGCCTTTCCTGATCCCCTTGGCTCCTCCCTCCTCCAGCCCTGGCCTTCTGTAAGGAAGTACTTGGCTTATCTTTCTTAGTTACTTATCCAGGTGGATGTTATTTGCCACCAAGAGAGTTCAAGGACCTTAAGAACAAGGCCTTTTTCATTTCGTCTTTGCATTATTCCCAGAGCCAAGTAGAAGGCCTGGCTCATAGTGGAATGAGTCAGTAAATAAATGACACAGCAGATAGAGCCCTGACTCTGGACCAGAGTCCAAATCCCACCTCTGACCCTTACTGACTGGGACTGTGGCACGGCTCCTCCTGACCCTCATAGAAAATGAGGCCATTGGCCTACATGATCTCTGAGGTTAGTTCCAGCCCCAGAGATGCTGGTGGTAGTAGTATTAGCACTCATTGTAGTACTAGTAGTAGTATTAATAGTAGTAGTGGTACCAGTAGTAGTAGTAATGGTGGTGGTGATAGTAATGTTAGTAGTGGTGGTAGTAGTGGTAGTCATAGTTTAAATAGTAGTAGTAATAATGGTGGTGGTGTAGTAGTAGTAGTAATATTAGTAGCAATGGTAGTAATAGTATCAGTATTAATTGTAGTACTGGTAGTAGTAGCATAAATAGTATTAGTAACGCTGGTGGGGGTGGTAGTGGTAGTTGTAGTAGCACTAGTAGTAGTAGTAGTAGTGAAAAACAGCCTCTATATACTAGGCAGCACTTTGAAGTTCATGGGTGTCCTTTGTCTTCTGTATTACAGGTCTCATTCCATAAGGCAGCTAGTTAGAATAGCACATAGAGTGTGGAATCAGGAAGCCCAGCATTCACACCTGGCCTCAGACACTTGTGACTCTATGTGACTTGTGACACTATGTGGCCCTAGACAAGTCTCAGTTTCCTCACCTACAAAATGAGGATCATAATAGTAGCCCCTCTTTCCCAGACTTGTTGTGAGATGGCATAAGTAAAGCGATTTTCGCCAGCCTTAACTTGCTAACTATAATTATGATGATCCTGTGAATAAATTGATCTGACCACTGTCAACCTGCTAACCCAATTTAGCTGGAGTGAAAGATTTGCATGGTGAAGTAGTAAAAAGGCCAGATTGTGGAAGGCCTTGAACACCAAGCTAAATAGTTTGGTCTTTGTCTGATAGGCACTGGGAGGCATTGAAGGTCTTTTAGCAGAGCAGTAATACAGTATTGTCTACTTTCTACCTCGCCTTAAGCGTGTATCTGAAGATGCAGGAAGGGTGGAAAGTCAGGAAGACGAAAGGTGAAAAGGGGGACGGGGAAATATTTCATCATATCCCGTCTTCAAGCGTCAAACAGGACTCCTTTCTTGGTCAAACTCCTTGAATTTTCAGTAACTGAAGAGCTCCAGGAAGAGCAGGAAAGGACACAGAGACAGAGGATCCTGCTGACATTTGCCATCCTGCATTATTTACTCACTGATCATTAACTCCTTCAGGGAGGTTCCTTGTGGGTGTTTGTGTCTGAGGAACCAAGGGAAAGAATGTTAATTGCGAAATCGTGAGCTTTTCCACTGAGGCCTTTCACCTGCACTAGCTCAGACCTCTGAGAGGACTAGACCGGGTGGGAGGGAGGGCACAATTAAATGAAGCAAACCTTTATTAAGGAAGTGCCTACCACACACAAGGCTTGGATCCAGAGCCAGGCTCAGAGTCAGGAAGGCTGTGTGACCCTGGCCAAGTCATTTGGCTTCGGTATGCCCCCAGGCAATTCTTAAAATTGTAAGCTAGGGGGGTTGACCTGAATTGGTAGAGGGAAGGTTTGGTTACTTTGAAAATAAACAAATAAATGAAATCCCTTTCTGCTCTAAATTTTAGGATCCTATAAAATCCAGGTGTTATTGTCCTGTCCTGGCTCTAGGTCCCTTTGGCCACGCATCTGGGGCCAAGAACAAGTTACTACACAGGAGGAGAAATATGCAGAAAGCTCTCTGGGAGTCTCAGGACAAGCTGACAGGAATCATGAAAGAAATCTCTGCGAAGGAGTCAGCCCATCGCCCCATACCCCGCACGTTAGAGACAAAGAAGGAATCAGCCCAGTGCCCCACACATTAGAGATGAGGAAAGGAAGGTGATCAGAGGCTTCAAAATAGTATAGATTAGACTCTCCTGCAGACCTTTCCAATATGTAAATACCAAAATCAAGTCAAATCAGCAAATCTTTATTTGTAATAATAGCCAACATTTAGACAGCGCCTACCATACACTGCAGAGCACTTTACAAATATTATCTCATTTGATGCTGTTATGATTCCCATTTTACAGATGAGGAAACTGAGGCAGGCAATGGTTAAGTGACCTGCCAGAGGTCACACAGCTAGTGTCTGAGGTCAGATCTGAACTTGGGTCTTCCTGACTCCAGCTCTCTATCCCCTCACTGTAAAGCATTTTTTTTTGGTAAGTTTGTAAAACCCAAACCCTGCCCCCACTAAATTTATAATCTGGGTGAGGAGACAAGTTTATAAGCAGATGCAAAGTTTAATGATAACAACAAAAGATTTAAATAGTAAGTCTAAACTATAGTAGGAGATTTTGGGCAGTGTATCCGTTATATAGAAAATCCATTCAATAGGAATGTAGAGGAAGAAAGGCTGACTTTAGCTGGGGTGACCAGGGAAAGTTTTACAAAGTAGATGGGACTGCAGCTGGACTGGAAGGATGGGGAGGAATTAGATGTTAATAAGTGGCCGGATGGATCAATGAAATCACATCCTGGTGACTTTAACCACCAGGAGGCTCTAAGGCAGGGATGGGAAACCTAAGGCCTCGAGGCCACATGTGGCCCTCTAGGTCCTCAAGTGCAGCCCTTTGACTGAATCCACATTCCACCTCCAACTTACCTTTCCAACTTTCTCAGTACCTCAACACACAAATCTTTTACTCCAGTTAAACTGGTTTCGCTATTGTGCCCCAACATACCTTGTACCTCCATGCTTTTGCTCATTCTGTCCCACTGGCTTGTAATGTCCTTCCCCCTCCTTTCCATCTGTTTGAACTAATGAATCAATGAGCATTAAGTGTTTTCTGCTTGCCAGGCATTGTCCTATACTACAGGAATTCATGTCAAGTGGCTTTTATTCTAATAGAAAGAGACTCTACAGGAGTAGTGATGGCCAGGGAAAGAGGCCATGATCTCCCTAGAATAGGGGCGGGGAACTTGGATTTAGTCAAGGTACGTTGGGGCACAACAACGCAACCAGTTTAACCCGAGCGAAAGATTTGTGAGTTGATGTACTGAGAAGGTTGGAAAGGTGAGTTGGAGCCAGATGGTAGAAGGCCTTGAATGCCTCACTGAGGACATTGTCTGGTGGGCACTTGGGAGTCACTGAAGATCTTATGGCAGAGCATAAACAGCAATGTACTGGAGCCCTGGGTGAGCTTTTCACTGTTAAATTTTCAGAGCAGAGCATTTGCACATTGGAAATCCCCAAAGGTACAAATCGGGGCTTGATCTATTTTGTTGACTGTCTAAACTTAAGTAAGTGATGGAGAAGATATTAATACTACAAATTAACTTTCAAAGTGTGCTCTGCAGTCTTTTTTTTTCTTCTTTTTCTGGAGAGCCAGTTGTTAAACATTTACCAGCCCAGTACAGTTACTGAGGATCTGTGTCAAGTAGAAGTCATGACTCGGGGTGCAGACCGAACCTTCCATGTGATTAGATCTGGTCACATCAATCTCTGCTCAAAAATCCTCACTGTTTCCTTATTGCTTATCCAATGAAGTTCAGAAATTTTTCACCTGGTACTCAAGGCCCTCTAGAATCTTTCACCCTTTTGCCTTGCCAGACTTATCTGTTGTTACTCCCTTCCATATATTCTAGGCTCCAGCCAAATTGGACTCCTCAGGGGCTGCTTTGTGGTGCAGCAGATAGAGCCCTGGAGTCAGGAAGACCTGAGTTCAAATTTGACCTCATACACTTACTAGCTGTGTGACCCTGGGCAAGTCAACTAACCCTGACTGCCTCAAGAAAAAAAAATGGACTCCTCTTTGTCTCCTGAACACACTGTGCTGTTTGTTAGGTTTGGGGGTGGTTCTTTTTTGCTCACATTGTCCCGTAGGCCTGGTTTTCCTCCCTGACCTGCTTCATCCACTGGGAAGGTACAGTCTTATCAGTCTTTTAAAATCCAGCTGAAATATCAGTCCCTCCCTGAAGCTTTCCAAACATGCCCCTGTTAAAAATAATAATAATAATAATAATAAAATTTTTTTTTAATTTAAAAATATTTTTAAAAAGAGAGAAATCCTCAAACATGGCCCTGTTGCCACCAGCCTTCCCCTTGAACTTCAGCACATTGCTTTGCACCTATTTCTGCTCAGTCATCCAGGTTTGCCCCCAAGTTTGTTGGCCTCAGCCTTGACTCCTCACCCTCACACTCACCTACCCCACATAGCCAATGGTCACTGAAATCATTGTTGCTAACATAGCACTCTCTCTTTTGTCCTTCCCCTCCTCATCACTCACCAGGCTACCAGGCTCTGTCCAGGCCCTCATCACCTCTCACCTGGACTATGGCAATAGCCTCCTTCTCAGCCTCCCTACCTCTCCAGTCTGTAGTCCATACAACCACACAGGTGTGGCTAATGTAATTTCCCTACTCAGTACATTCCAATGACTCCCAATTACTTCTGAGATAAAACATCAACTTTTCTGGTAGGGATTTAAATAACAAGTGGGCCCCCCAAAGCCTTTCCAGCCTCACTGCACTTTAACATCATTCACGTGCACTGTGCACCTGCCAAACTGACTTTCTTACCGTTCCTTGGACATTATACTTCATTTCCCAACTACGTGCCTTTGTCCTGGTTGTCCTACGTGCCTGAAATGTGCTCCTTTTTCATATCTACCTCTTAGACTCTCTAGTTTCCTTCAAGGCTCAGGGGAACTGCTCCCTTCTATATGAAGCCTTTCCTCCAACAGCTTGGTTCCTCCTTCCTCCCTCCTTCCCTCCCCAAACACCTAGCATTTATTTTGAATATGTCCTCTCCATATTTACTATGTCTATGTTGTCTCCCCGGGCTAGAATGTAAGCTTCTGGAGGGCAGGGACTGTTTCATTTCTTTCTTTGTAGCCTACGGGCATTGCGCAGTGCCTGGCATATAGCAGCTGTTTCATAAATAAATGCTCGTTGATATGTATTGAGTGAACTTATCATATGTACTCATAATTAGCTTGAAGGCAAAGACGGGATCATTTTTTAAATTTTGTACCCCCAGAACTTAGCACCATGTCTTACAAATAGAAATTGCTGGATAAATATTTGCTGAATTTGAAATTTAAATTTGAAGGCATAAATATGTGGGTCCTAGTTGTCTGCAGATGTCTTCACTACTAGACCAGAAGCCCCATGAGGTCACGTCTCCCCTAGCAGCCAGCACAAGACTTTTGGTCAGAGTAGCTATTGAAAAAACATTCTTTGAATTGTTTAAATACATTGAATTAAATGTGCAGAACTGTGTCTTCAGATTAATCTTTCCTCCAGTATGTGGGATGGATTGCAGAGGCTGTTTGAGACAGGATCACAAGAGCCTGGGCCAGGGGTGGGGAACCTGTGTCCTCAAGTGTGACCATTTGACCGATGGATTCAGTCAAAGGGCTGAACTAGAGGGCCGAGAGGGCCCCACGTGGCCTCGAGGCCCAGGCTAAGGCCGCCAAGGACCTGAGGACTTAATGGTCTAGGAGGGATAAGAATTAGATTCAACCGACATGTATCTGGGAACAGAAAGGAAGGGGTAAAAAATGAGATGTACATTGACAATGTGAGGGGAGAGAGGAGAAAGAATCAAAACTGACTTGAATTCCACGTATCTAGGTGGGAAAATAAGCAAAGATGCCCATGAGGGTCAGTTACTCCAGTCCGAGAAGGTTTTTCTTCTGAATGCATGTAGGGACCACTTTCTAGATACACAGTGGAGAGGAGGGAAGTGACCATGTGACCAGGCTGTGATTGGCCACTGTTTGTAGCTACTCTCCCCTACCTGGTATCTAGGTTAGAGTACTGGGGTGGGGGTGGGGGGGGGGTGACTATAACCAGGATTTTTTTCTAGGGGACATTTTGGGGGGCTTTTCCTGTTTAGATTTGTGGTCCCTATGTCCCTCCAAAGCTGACTGCCCTGCATCCATGGTCACAGGGATCACTGTATGCTGTGGCCGGGGATGCCCTGACCCCCATGCAGGCAGCAAGGAGGCCTCCAGGAGCATCCCATCCTGACTAGAGTCCAGAAGGGGCAGAAGTTGGGGCCTGTGGGGTGGGGAAGCCTTCCCCAGATATTGGCAGCAATTGACACAAGCCTTGAAGAGCGTCCGGAAGGTGAAGAGCCAGCCCAGGTAATGCAGCTCTGCCAAGTTCAGAAGAAAACAGCCAAGCCCCACCCCGAACATAAAATTCAGGAAGATCATTTTCTCTGTTGCCCTGGAGACAAAGCAGTCTGTCTTGGTGGGACACGGGTAGGTTTCGCAGCGGTATAAATGGGGCACGTTAAACCCAAACAGTTAATATTGCCCCACTAGGAATCCCAGCTCCAGGAAGGACCTCAGCACCACGTGGGCAATATAAATGACCAACACCCGGTTGGCCAGCTGGATGGGGTCCTGAGCTGTGGCGCCGGCATGCTTTGGAAGGATCTCCTCGGCCTCCTCCAGGCTCTGGCTCTCGAAGGAGCTGGAGGGCACCAGGACCCCAGAGTCTGACTGCGGAAAGGCCTGGTGAGAAGTTGCCTGCTTTTGCCACAGCTCCAGCAGGCGGTCCCTCTCCACATCTATCCACTCCTCCAGGGCCACCTGGTGCATCACGCAGACGATGTAGAAGATGGAGGGCGTGGCCACCAGGACAATCTGGAAAATCCAGAAGCGGAGGTGAGATATGGGGGCGAAGCTGTTGTAGCAGACGTTGGTGCAGCCGGGCTGGAGGGTGTTACAGGTGAACTTGGACTGTTCATCCCCGTAGACTGCATTGCCCACCAGAGTGACCAGGAGGATGCGGAAGATGAGGAGGGCGGTGAGCCAGATCTTGCCGATGACAGTGGAGTGGTTCTGGACTTCAGTGAGAAGCCGCCCCAGGAATGACCAGTCGCCCATCTGTAAGCGCAGAATGAATCACAGAATTCGTTTCCTTTCACATTTTAGTAATGCGTTTTTTTGTTTTTTAACTCCATGGCTAGGTCCCAGTATCTTCCCCCAATAGAACTTTTCCTGGTATCAGAGAAAACCAGTACCACCAACTGTGTTGGACAGTATATGTAGCATTCCCCATCCAGTCCCCCACCTCTACCAAAAGGAGGGAAATGTAAAAAGGCATAAAATTTAGTGGTAAAAGGAAACTCAGAGGTCATAGGACCATAGATTTTGAGCTGGAAGGGACCTTAGAGGACATCTAGTTAAATCCTCTAATTTTATTGAAGGTAGCTAGATAATGCAGATTTAGGAAGACCTGAGTTCAGATTTGACCTCATATACTTACTAGCTGTGTGACCCTGGGCAAGTCTCTTTCCCTCAGATTCCTCAACTATAAAATACAGATAACAGTGCCTACTTCCCAGAGTCATTATGAGAATCAAATGAGATGACATTTGTAAAGCACACAATTCTTACTCCTTTCTCCTTATAGAAAAGGACACGGGGGCCCATGGAGGCTTGCTGACTTGTCCAAGGTCTCACAGGGAGAAAGAAGAGTCAGGGTTTTCACTCAAATCTTGTGATACCCAGTGCATGGTGTCATCTCCAGAGGATGAGCACACTGGTTGGAGAAGTGAATACTTCCATGTTTCAAGTTTCTATGACTTGGTCTATTTCGAGCTCCTCCAGGGTTGAGACTGCCTTTTCCCCGCCCCTTAATGCAGTGCCTGGCACCATATTCCCTTACTTAATCTTTATTGACTGACTGACTGATTGGTATCTTAAGTACCTTAGCAGAGGTACTTCATGAGTGGTTGTGGTCAAAATAATCCATCTCTGCAGCCAGCTGGGGACCCAGCCCCTCCCAGAGTCCTTTTGGGCTTATCCTCCAATAACAGACACACAGATGAAAAAACACAAAGCCTCCAGCAGCCAGACACTTGCCAAAGGATTTCAAGGCATCCTGGGCTACCTTGTCAGCCTGATACTTAGCTGGATCCCTCAACAGGCTGACAAGGACACAGAGAAGCAACTTCATCAAGGAAAGAAGAACAAACTCTCGGAGGGAGCTGGAGGGAACTGACTTAACTGCAGTGACTTTCACTCCTGCTCCAGAATTAGGTTTCTGACTCAGCGCTATTATTAAAACAGTTTTCTGTTCTCTCGGATTGTCCTGGGGCACTGGATCCAAGTCTTCCAAGGCACCAGCCTGGTATTCCCTCGAGGATGGGAAACTCACACTTCATTCTGTAGCAAGTCTCTCCATCAGGCTCAGGGGCAAGGGAAGATCTTAGGAACCTGGGGAGGATGACGCCAACGGGCAGCTTCCCAACATCCCTGCAAAACCTCCTTTTTTTGGGGGGGGGGAAGGTTGGAAGTGGGGGAGATGAGGCAAGACTGGATTTATTATTTCATTTGTGTAAGGAACTCTCAGGTGAGGAAGTTTCTACCAATGAAGCTCATCACCTGATCTTTAAATTAGTTTCCTGGGGCACTGAGTGATTATTATTATTAATAGTTTGATTTATTAATAATAACAATAACTAGGGGGGAGAGAGGAGAGAGAGAGGAATAGGGGAGGGGGGAGGGGAGAGAAAGAAAGGGAGAGGGGGGAAAGAGAAAGAGAGAGAAAGGGAGGGAGGCAGAGGGGAGGGGGAGAGAGAGAGAGAGAGAGAGAGAGAGAGAGAGAGAGAGAGAGAGAGAGAGAGAGTGCTTTAAGATTTCCAAAGTGCTTTACAAATATTATTTCCTTTGATAATAAAAGGTTAGATGACCTGCCCAGGTCATCTACCAGACAGTATGTGTCAAAGATAGTCCTTGACCTCAGGCTCTCCTGTCTCCGAGGGTGGCTCTCTGTCCACTCTCCAACCCTTACCTCTGCCCAGGCCCATAGAACTCAATAAAATGCCCAGGTTGGTAGCTCCCATAGGCATAGCTGCCACCCACTCTGCTCCGGGAGCCGTACTAATGTTAATAACCGATATTTTAAAGAATGCAAAGATAGGCTGCCCTCTCCCCCAGAGAGCTAGCCCAGAGCTCCATGGAAGCTCGTAGGAAGGATTACACGTCGATTATCTTATTGGAGTCTCCTAACAAAGGGGAACAAGGGTAAGGGAACAAGCATTTATGTAGCACCTACTATGTACTGTGGACAGCTAGGTGGCACCATGGTGCATAGAGTGCCGGGATTGGAGTCAAGAAGACCTGAGTTCAAATCCATCCTCAGACACTTACTAGCTGTGTGACCCTGGGCAAGTCATTTCACCCTGTTTGCCTCAGTTTCCTTATCTGCAAAATGAGCTGGAGAAGGAAATGACAAACCACTTCGGCATCTTTGCCCAGTAAAACCCCAAATGCGGTCACGGAGAATAGGACGCAACTGAATTGACTAAACGAATGTACTAAGAGCTTTACACGTATTGTTCATGTTATCCTCATAGCAACCTTGACAGGTAGGTGCTGTCCCCCTTTTTACAGCAGAGGAAAGTGAGGCAGACAGAGGTTACCCAGGTATACAAACTTGTGAAGGAAATAACTGCCAGTATTGTTCCCATTTCACATGTGAGGAAACTAAGGCTCTGAGAAGTTAACTTGTCCTAGATCTGGTCCCATACCCATAGCTAGCAAGTATCAGGCAGAATTTGAACTAGGGTCTTCCTGACTCCAAGTCTAGCACTCTATCTGCCGTACCACACTGCTTGTCACAAAAGAAGACTTTGTCATAGTGGAAAGCGCATTTTGTTCAGTTGTTTCAGTCGTGTCTGACTCTCTGCGACCCCATTTGGGGTTTTCTTGGCAAAGATGCTAGAATGGTTTGCCTTTCCTTCTCCAGTTCATTTGACAGTTGAGGAAACCGAGGCAAACAGGGTGATATGACTTGCCCAGGGTCATACAGCTAGTAAGTGTCTGAGGCCACATTTGAATTCAGGTCTTCCTTGACTTTAGGTCTAGCTGCCCCGCCTACAGATCCTTCAGTGCTAAGCTGGAGCTCCATCTCCTCCATGAAGCTTTCCCTGTCTCTTTCACGGACTTATCTTTTAACTCTTCTCGGCCTCAGTATCCTCATCTGTAAAATGGGGCTAATAATAGCACTCCTCCTCCATGGTTGTTGTGAAGATAACAAGAGATAATACATATATTTTTTTTTTTGAGGGGGGGGCGCCAGGCAATGGGGTAAAGTAACTTGCCCAGGGTCACACAGCTAGTAAGTATCAAGTGTCTGAGGTCAAATTTGAACTCAGGTCTTCCTGAATCCAGGGCTGGTGTTCTACACACTGCGCCATCTAGCTGCTCCCAAAAGGAAGTAATATTTATGAAGCGCTTCACATACCTTAAATCATCTCTATCTAAATGCTAAAGATGAGGTCAGGAGAGGCCCAGGTTTAAATCCAGCTGCTGACACCTAGTAGCTGTGTGACAATGGAAGGTCATGTCCCATCTGAGCCTCAGTTTGCTAATCTGTAAAATGGGCACAATAACTCTCAGGGCTCTTGGACTCCAACAAGATGATGGCTCTAAAATACCTTGCAAACCTGAAAGAGCAGTGTGACTTAAGGTAGACTTAGAGAATCTTGAAGATCTGGGTTCAAATACTGCCTCCAAAACTTAACTAGCTGTGTGACCCTGAGCAAGTCTCCTAACTCCAGTCCAGGCCCCAGTTTGCTCACCTGTAAAATGGAGGGGTTAAAGTCAGGGGCCTCTAAACTAGTCCTTTCCCCTTTGAGATCATCTCTGACTTACAGCGTTTCCATCTCATTTGTAAATATTTGTTTGCGTGTTTGCCTCTCCCATTAGAATGGAAGCTCCTTGAGGGCACGGACTGTTTGGACATTTCTTTGTATCCCCAGCTAAGCGTAATGCCTGGCACATGGTAGGTGCTTAATAAATGCTTATGGGCTTGACTCTAAGGTCCCTTCCAGCCCTAAAGCTATGATTCTCTGCTCTAGAAATGTCAGCTATTTGGGTCACTTAAAGTCTGAATCACAAAATTTAGCACTTAGGATAACAGATTTAGATGGAAAAAGTGGTCTCTGCAGCCATTTAGGCCTACCCCTTCATTTTACAGACAAGGAAATGTCCAAATCTGGCTAGGCAAGTCACTTAACCTCTGCCTCAGTTTCCTTGACTGTGAAATGGGGATAATAATCACCCCTAGCTCCCAAGGATATTGTGAGTCTCTAATGACACAATATTTATAAAGCATTTAGTACAACACTTGGCACATAGCAGGTGCTATATAGGTTGGCTGTTATCATTTTTATTAACGTCTTATTTTTGATTCACAACAAATATAACAGACTTTACATGCCTATTGTGTTCAGATCACAGTGCTAAGTGCTAGCACTGCACTAGGCCTGAGGTTACACGGACAAAAGTAGACACAGTCTCTCAAAGTCCTCAAAGATCTTATAGTCTATCCTGGGAGACAACATGTACGTGTACGCATAGATATAAAATCTATACATGAAGGGGACCTGGATTCGAGATCCATGTGCATAGAGGTATCATTTGAAGATGGACAACTAGGTGGCACAGTGGATGGAGCGTGGGGCCCAGAATCAGGCAGGCTCATCTTCCTGAGTTCAAATCCAGCCTCAGACACTTATTAGTTGTGTGACCCTGGGCAAGTCACTTAACCCAGTTTGCCTCAGTTTTCTCATCTGTCAAATGAGCTGGAGAAGGAAATGGCAAATCAGCCTAGTGTCTTTGCTAAGAAAACCCCAAATGGAGTCATGGAGAGTCAGACATGACTGAAAAACAACAATAATCATTTGAAGCCATGGGAGCGAAAGAGTATATGTCTTATTTCTTTACATAGTACATAGAATCCTATATCTTGGGTTGGAAGGACCCTATATAGCTTGTAGTCTAACCACCTCATTTTAGAAATAGAGAAATAAAGTCTCAGAAAAGGGAAAAGACTTGGCCAGGGTCACACAGGTAGGATTGGAACAACCCAGGCC